TGGTGGGAGGGATTGCCTGTCCTGGCCCATCCCAAATCCAGGAGGGCCACTCAGCAGCGTAGTCCGGCCCTTGGCAAATGGCCCTTTCCCCGCCCTGCCATGCGGTGTATGCCCAGCGCCTCCAGCTGGTGGCTGGGAAGAGCTTCAGGCTGCAGCCGTGGCGCTGTGGAGCTGTGCTAGCAGCAGAAGCGGCACCTGTGCCTGCTGCAGTGCTCGCGATCTGACCGGCCAAGTGGTAGCAGGTGCTCCACAGGACACCACGCAGAAGCAAAGGGTCCTGCAACTGTGAATTTGGGGTGTGGAAGGGGTTTAGGTGTCAGTTTTGGGGAGGGGGTGTGTGCGCATTTCAAGACAACCAGGTGGACTGTTCCTGTGCTTTGCAGGGAATGTGAGAGAAGAGGTGGCCTGCGCATCGTGACTGTGCTTATGGGGATGAAGCTGTGGGGCACTGATGGCTCGTGCATGCTTCTTCACATGCGCCTTCTTTTCTCGGTGAGGGATACAAGTCAGCTGCGAGTCCGCAAGTATGTCAGCAGGGATGCGGGAGGCGGTGCCTTGCCTTCCATGCCTTAAAGCCACACAGAATACTGAAGATGCCGGGCCAAACTTGCGCAAGCGTCCACAGCATCAGAGAGCGTGCAGCAACCTACCAACAGGGCTCAAAGGCCCAGACTCTGCAGGGGCTCTTCCGATGGGACATTTGCTAAAAAGAAACTCCAAAGCTGCCAGAACTGCAGGCAGTGAAGGACGCCTTGCTTTACCCATGCACGGTGCCCTGCAGGCTCTTGTGCGTGCTCTCTGGGGCCTGCAGCTTCCCTCAGGACACATCGACCCGCGCCGGCGTGCTCTCTTCCAAGGGTTGCGCTGCATTAGAATTTTGATTCTGGCGCCAGAACCACCCCCTGCTCTTCCTCCTCCTCCTGCTCCTCCTCCCGTTCCTCCTCCTGCTCCTCCTCTTGCTCGTCCTGACCCCCCAAAGCCTTCCTCCCCCTCCTTCCTCCCGCTCCACTCTCACCTTGGCCTTTGCACAGCTGTTTCTCACACTTTCTCCTCCTCACTCCCCACTGCTGAGCAGCAGGTTGCCCTGTTTGGCGGTCCTTGCCAAGCATGCTTTCTCCTAAGGCACCGCCTTCCTGGCTGCCAGGCTCTGCCCTGCCCTGCGGCAGTGCCGCTGGAACGGCATTGTCACAATGCATGGGGCCGATACCGGCTTCTTCTCAGAGGCCACCAGCAGCCCTTGGTGCCAGCACGTGGGCAAACACCCAGCACGGCTCTAGAGAAACATAAACATTTCCTACACGTGAGACCTTCCCGGTCTGGAAGCAGGCAGCCAATCAGAGGGAGGAATGAGAAGATGACAGGGTTTTATAAACAAAGCTGGCTAAGCCAATCAGGGAGCGGCACGGCAACAGGTGGGCTGGGCGCTTTCACAAAATGGCGGCTCCTCACTGTAGAATGCGGCATGAAACAAAATGGTGCCCGCCACTGCAGGGTGGTGGGAGGGATTGCCTGTCCTGGCCCATCCCAAATCCAGGAGGGCCACTCAGCAGCGTAGTCCGGCCCTTGGCAAATGGCCCTTTCCCCGCCCTGCCATGCGGTGTATGCCCAGCGCCTCCAGCTGGTGGCTGGGAAGAGCTTCAGGCTGCAGCCGTGGCGCTGTGGAGCTGTGCTAGCAGCAGAAGCGGCACCTGTGCCTGCTGCAGTGCTCGCGATCTGACCGGCCAAGTGGTAGCAGGTGCTCCACAGGACACCACGCAGAAGCAAAGGGTCCTGCAACTGTGAATTTGGGGTGTGGAAGGGGTTTAGGTGTCAGTTTTGGGGAGGGGGTGTGTGCGCATTTCAAGACAACCAGGTGGACTGTTCCTGTGCTTTGCAGGGAATGTGAGAGAAGAGGTGGCCTGCGCATCGTGACTGTGCTTATGGGGTATGAAGCTGTGGGGCACTGATGGCTCGTGCATGCTTCTTCACATGCGCCTTCTTTTCTCGGTGAGGGATACAAGTCAGCTGCGAGTCCGCAAGTATGTCAGCAGGGATGCGGGAGGCGGTGCCTTGCCTTCCATGCCTTAAAGCCACACAGAATACTGAAGATGCCGGGCCAAACTTGCGCAAGCGTCCACAGCATCAGAGAGCGTGCAGCAACCTACCAACAGGGCTCAAAGGCCCAGACTCTGCAGGGGCTCTTCCGATGGGACATTTGCTAAAAAGAAACTCCAAAGCTGCCAGAACTGCAGGCAGTGAAGGACGCCTTGCTTTACCCATGCACGGTGCCCTGCAGGCTCTTGTGCGTGCTCTCTGGGGCCTGCAGCTTCCCTCAGGACACATCGACCCGCGCCGGCGTGCTCTCTTCCAAGGGTTGCGCTGCATTAGAATTTTGATTCTGGCGCCAGAACCACCCCCTGCTCTTCCTCCTCCTCCTGCTCCTCCTCCCGTTCCTCCTCCTGCTCCTCCTCTTGCTCGTCCTGACCCCCCAAAGCCTTCCTCCCCCTCCTTCCTCCCGCTCCGACTCTCACCTTGGCCTTTGCACAGCTGTTTCTCACACTTTCTCCTCCTCACTCCCCACTGCTGAGCAGCAGGTTGCCCTGTTTGGCGGTCCTTGCCAAGCATGCTTTCTCCTAAGGCACCGCCTTCCTGGCTGCCAGGCTCTGCCCTGCCCTGCGGCAGTGCCGCTGGAACCGGCATTGTCACAATGCATGGGGCCGATACCGGCTTCTTCTCAGAGGCCACCAGCAGCCCTTGGTGCCAGCACGTGGGCAAACACCCAGCACGGCTCTAGAGAAACATAAACATTGCCTACACGTGAGACCTTCCCGGTCTGGAAGCAGGCAGCCAATCAGAGGGAGGAATGAGAAGATGACAGGGTTTTATAAACAAAGCTGGCTAAGCCAATCAGGGAGCGGCACGGCAACAGGTGGGCTGGGCGCTTTCACAAAATGGCGGCTCCTCACTGTAGAATGCGGCATGAAACAAAATGGTGCCCGCCACTGCAGGGTGGTGGGAGGGATTGCCTGTCCTGGCCCATCCCAAATCCAGGAGGGCCACTCAGCAGCGTAGTCCGGCCCTTGGCAAATGGCCCTTTCCCCGCCCTGCCATGCGGTGTATGTATGCCAGCGCCTCCAGCTGGTGGCTGGGAAGAGCTTCAGGCTGCAGCCGTGGCGCTGTGGAGCTGTGCTAGCAGCAGAAGCGGCACCTGTGCCTGCTGCAGTGCTCGCGATCTGACCGGCCAAGTGGTAGCAGGTGCTCCACAGGACACCACGCAGAAGCAAAGGGTCCTGCAACTGTGAATTTGGGGTGTGGAAGGGGTTTAGGTGTCAGTTTTGGGGAGGGGGTGTGTGCGCATTTCAAGACAACCAGGTGGACTGTTCCTGTGCTTTGCAGGGAATGTGAGAGAAGAGGTGGCCTGCGCATCGTGACTGTGCTTATGGGGTATGAAGCTGTGGGGCACTGATGGCTCGTGCATGCTTCTTCACATGCGCCTTCTTTTCTCGGTGAGGGATACAAGTCAGCTGCGAGTCCGCAAGTATGTCAGCAGGGATGCGGGAGGCGGTGCCTTGCCTTCCATGCCTTAAAGCCACACAGAATACTGAAGATGCCGGGCCAAACTTGCGCAAGCGTCCACAGCATCAGAGAGCGTGCAGCAACCTACCAACAGGGCTCAAAGGCCCAGACTCTGCAGGGGCTCTTCCGATGGGACATTTGCTAAAAAGAAACTCCAAAGCTGCCAGAACTGCAGGCAGTGAAGGACGCCTTGCTTTACCCATGCACGGTGCCCTGCAGGCTCTTGTGCGTGCTCTCTGGGGCCTGCAGCTTCCCTCAGGACACATCGACCCGCGCCGGCGTGCTCTCTTCCAAGGGTTGCGCTGCATTAGAATTTTGATTCTGGCGCCAGAACCACCCCCTGCTCTTCCTCCTCCTCCTGCTCCTCCTCCCGTTCCTCCTCCTGCTCCTCCTCTTGCTCGTCCTGACCCCCCAAAGCCTTCCTCCCCCTCCTTCCTCCCGCTCCGACTCTCACCTTGGCCTTTGCACAGCTGTTTCTCACACTTTCTCCTCCTCACTCCCCACTGCTGAGCAGCAGGTTGCCCTGTTTGGCGGTCCTTGCCAAGCATGCTTTCTCCTAAGGCACCGCCTTCCTGGCTGCCAGGCTCTGCCCTGCCCTGCGGCAGTGCCGCTGGAACGGCATTGTCACAATGCATGGGGCCGATACCGGCTTCTTCTCAGAGGCCACCAGCAGCCCTTGGTGCCAGCACGTGGGCAAACACCCAGCACGGCTCTAGAGAAACATAAACATTGCCTACACGTGAGACCTTCCCGGTCTGGAAGCAGGCAGCCAATCAGAGGGAGGAATGAGAAGATGACAGGGTTTTATAAACAAAGCTGGCTAAGCCAATCAGGGAGCGGCACGGCAACAGGTGGGCTGGGCGCTTTCACAAAATGGCGGCTCCTCACTGTAGAATGCGGCATGAAACAAAATGGTGCCCGCCACTGCAGGGTGGTGGGAGGGATTGCCTGTCCTGGCCCATCCCAAATCCAGGAGGGCCACTCAGCAGCGTAGTCCGGCCCTTGGCAAATGGCCCTTTCCCCGCCCTGCCATGCGGTGTATGCCCAGCGCCTCCAGCTGGTGGCTGGGAAGAGCTTCAGGCTGCAGCCGTGGCGCTGTGGAGCTGTGCTAGCAGCAGAAGCGGCACCTGTGCCTGCTGCAGTGCTCGCGATCTGACCGGCCAAGTGGTAGCAGGTGCTCCACAGGACACCACGCAGAAGCAAAGGGTCCTGCAACTGTGAATTTGGGGTGTGGAAGGGGTTTAGGTGTCAGTTTTGGGGAGGGGGTGTGTGCGCATTTCAAGACAACCAGGTGGACTGTTCCTGTGCTTTGCAGGGAATGTGAGAGAAGAGGTGGCCTGCGCATCGTGACTGTGCTTATGGGGTATGAAGCTGTGGGGCACTGATGGCTCGTGCATGCTTCTTCACATGCGCCTTCTTTTCTCGGTGAGGGATACAAGTCAGCTGCGAGTCCGCAAGTATGTCAGCAGGGATGCGGGAGGCGGTGCCTTGCCTTCCATGCCTTAAAGCCACACAGAATACTGAAGATGCCGGGCCAAACTTGCGCAAGCGTCCACAGCATCAGAGAGCGTGCAGCAACCTACCAACAGGGCTCAAAGGCCCAGACTCTGCAGGGGCTCTTCCGATGGGACATTTGCTAAAAAGAAACTCCAAAGCTGCCAGAACTGCAGGCAGTGAAGGACGCCTTGCTTTACCCATGCACGGTGCCCTGCAGGCTCTTGTGCGTGCTCTCTGGGGCCTGCAGCTTCCCTCAGGACACATCGACCCGCGCCGGCGTGCTCTCTTCCAAGGGTTGCGCTGCATTAGAATTTTGATTCTGGCGCCAGAACCACCCCCTGCTCTTCCTCCTCCTCCTGCTCCTCCTCCCGTTCCTCCTCCTGCTCCTCCTCTTGCTCGTCCTGACCCCCCAAAGCCTTCCTCCCCCTCCTTCCTCCCGCTCCGACTCTCACCTTGGCCTTTGCACAGCTGTTTCTCACACTTTCTCCTCCTCACTCCCCACTGCTGAGCAGCAGGTTGCCCTGTTTGGCGGTCCTTGCCAAGCATGCTTTCTCCTAAGGCACCGCCTTCCTGGCTGCCAGGCTCTGCCCTGCCCTGCGGCAGTGCCGCTGGAACGGCATTGTCACAATGCATGGGGCCGATACCGGCTTCTTCTCAGAGGCCACCAGCAGCCCTTGGTGCCAGCACGTGGGCAAACACCCAGCACGGCTCTAGAGAAACATAAACATTGCCTACACGTGAGACCTTCCCGGTCTGGAAGCAGGCAGCCAATCAGAGGGAGGAATGAGAAGATGACAGGGTTTTATAAACAAAGCTGGCTAAGCCAATCAGGGAGCGGCACGGCAACAGGTGGGCTGGGCGCTTTCACAAAATGGCGGCTCCTCACTGTAGAATGCGGCATGAAACAAAATGGTGCCCGCCACTGCAGGGTGGTGGGAGGGATTGCCTGTCCTGGCCCATCCCAAATCCAGGAGGGCCACTCAGCAGCGTAGTCCGGCCCTTGGCAAATGGCCCTTTCCCCGCCCTGCCATGCGGTGTATGCCCAGCGCCTCCAGCTGGTGGCTGGGAAGAGCTTCAGGCTGCAGCCGTGGCGCTGTGGAGCTGTGCTAGCAGCAGAAGCGGCACCTGTGCCTGCTGCAGTGCTCGCGATCTGACCGGCCAAGTGGTAGCAGGTGCTCCACAGGACACCACGCAGAAGCAAAGGGTCCTGCAACTGTGAATTTGGGGTGTGGAAGGGGTTTAGGTGTCAGTTTTGGGGAGGGGGTGTGTGCGCATTTCAAGACAACCAGGTGGACTGTTCCTGTGCTTTGCAGGGAATGTGAGAGAAGAGGTGGCCTGCGCATCGTGACTGTGCTTATGGGGTATGAAGCTGTGGGGCACTGATGGCTCGTGCATGCTTCTTCACATGCGCCTTCTTTTCTCGGTGAGGGATACAAGTCAGCTGCGAGTCCGCAAGTATGTCAGCAGGGATGCGGGAGGCGGTGCCTTGCCTTCCATGCCTTAAAGCCACACAGAATACTGAAGATGCCGGGCCAAACTTGCGCAAGCGTCCACAGCATCAGAGAGCGTGCAGCAACCTACCAACAGGGCTCAAAGGCCCAGACTCTGCAGGGGCTCTTCCGATGGGACATTTGCTAAAAAGAAACTCCAAAGCTGCCAGAACTGCAGGCAGTGAAGGACGCCTTGCTTTACCCATGCACGGTGCCCTGCAGGCTCTTGTGCGTGCTCTCTGGGGCCTGCAGCTTCCCTCAGGACACATCGACCCGCGCCGGCGTGCTCTCTTCCAAGGGTTGCGCTGCATTAGAATTTTGATTCTGGCGCCAGAACCACCCCCTGCTCTTCCTCCTCCTCCTGCTCCTCCTCCCGTTCCTCCTCCTGCTCCTCCTCTTGCTCGTCCTGACCCCCCAAAGCCTTCCTCCCCCTCCTTCCTCCCGCTCCGACTCTCACCTTGGCCTTTGCACAGCTGTTTCTCACACTTTCTCCTCCTCACTCCCCACTGCTGAGCAGCAGGTTGCCCTGTTTGGCGGTCCTTGCCAAGCATGCTTTCTCCTAAGGCACCGCCTTCCTGGCTGCCAGGCTCTGCCCTGCCCTGCGGCAGTGCCGCTGGAAGCGGCATTGTCACAATGCATGGGGCCGATACCGGCTTCTTCTCAGAGGCCACCAGCAGCCCTTGGTGCCAGCACGTGGGCAAACACCCAGCACGGCTCTAGAGAAACATAAACATTGCCTACACGTGAGACCTTCCCGGTCTGGAAGCAGGCAGCCAATCAGAGGGAGGAATGAGAAGATGACAGGGTTTTATAAACAAAGCTGGCTAAGCCAATCAGGGAGCGGCACGGCAACAGGTGGGCTGGGCGCTTTCACAAAATGGCGGCTCCTCACTGTAGAATGCGGCATGAAACAAAATGGTGCCCGCCACTGCAGGGTGGTGGGAGGGATTGCCTGTCCTGGCCCATCCCAAATCCAGGAGGGCCACTCAGCAGCGTAGTCCGGCCCTTGGCAAATGGCCCTTTCCCCGCCCTGCCATGCGGTGTATGCCCAGCGCCTCCAGCTGGTGGCTGGGAAGAGCTTCAGGCTGCAGCCGTGGCGCTGTGGAGCTGTGCTAGCAGCAGAAGCGGCACCTGTGCCTGCTGCAGTGCTCGCGATCTGACCGGCCAAGTGGTAGCAGGTGCTCCACAGGACACCACGCAGAAGCAAAGGGTCCTGCAACTGTGAATTTGGGGTGTGGAAGGGGTTTAGGTGTCAGTTTTGGGGAGGGGGTGTGTGCGCATTTCAAGACAACCAGGTGGACTGTTCCTGTGCTTTGCAGGGAATGTGAGAGAAGAGGTGGCCTGCGCATCGTGACTGTGCTTATGGGGTATGAAGCTGTGGGGCACTGATGGCTCGTGCATGCTTCTTCACATGCGCCTTCTTTTCTCGGTGAGGGATACAAGTCAGCTGCGAGTCCGCAAGTATGTCAGCAGGGATGCGGGAGGCGGTGCCTTGCCTTCCATGCCTTAAAGCCACACAGAATACTGAAGATGCCGGGCCAAACTTGCGCAAGCGTCCACAGCATCAGAGAGCGTGCAGCAACCTACCAACAGGGCTCAAAGGCCCAGACTCTGCAGGGGCTCTTCCGATGGGACATTTGCTAAAAAGAAACTCCAAAGCTGCCAGAACTGCAGGCAGTGAAGGACGCCTTGCTTTACCCATGCACGGTGCCCTGCAGGCTCTTGTGCGTGCTCTCTGGGGCCTGCAGCTTCCCTCAGGACACATCGACCCGCGCCGGCGTGCTCTCTTCCAAGGGTTGCGCTGCATTAGAATTTTGATTCTGGCGCCAGAACCACCCCCTGCTCTTCCTCCTCCTCCTGCTCCTCCTCCCGTTCCTCCTCCTGCTCCTCCTCTTGCTCGTCCTGACCCCCCAAAGCCTTCCTCCCCCTCCTTCCTCCCGCTCCGACTCTCACCTTGGCCTTTGCACAGCTGTTTCTCACACTTTCTCCTCCTCACTCCCCACTGCTGAGCAGCAGGTTGCCCTGTTTGGCGGTCCTTGCCAAGCATGCTTTCTCCTAAGGCACCGCCTTCCTGGCTGCCAGGCTCTGCCCTGCCCTGCGGCAGTGCCGCTGGAACGGCATTGTCACAATGCATGGGGCCGATACCGGCTTCTTCTCAGAGGCCACCAGCAGCCCTTGGTGCCAGCACGTGGGCAAACACCCAGCACGGCTCTAGAGAAACATAAACATTGCCTACACGTGAGACCTTCCCGGTCTGGAAGCAGGCAGCCAATCAGAGGGAGGAATGAGAAGATGACAGGGTTTTATAAACAAAGCTGGCTAAGCCAATCAGGGAGCGGCACGGCAACAGGTGGGCTGGGCGCTTTCACAAAATGGCGGCTCCTCACTGTAGAATGCGGCATGAAACAAAATGGTGCCCGCCACTGCAGGGTGGTGGGAGGGATTGCCTGTCCTGGCCCATCCCAAATCCAGGAGGGCCACTCAGCAGCGTAGTCCGGCCCTTGGCAAATGGCCCTTTCCCCGCCCTGCCATGCGGTGTATGCCCAGCGCCTCCAGCTGGTGGCTGGGAAGAGCTTCAGGCTGCAGCCGTGGCGCTGTGGAGCTGTGCTAGCAGCAGAAGCGGCACCTGTGCCTGCTGCAGTGCTCGCGATCTGACCGGCCAAGTGGTAGCAGGTGCTCCACAGGACACCACGCAGAAGCAAAGGGTCCTGCAACTGTGAATTTGGGGTGTGGAAGGGGTTTAGGTGTCAGTTTTGGGGAGGGGGTGTGTGCGCATTTCAAGACAACCAGGTGGACTGTTCCTGTGCTTTGCAGGGAATGTGAGAGAAGAGGTGGCCTGCGCATCGTGACTGTGCTTATGGGGTATGAAGCTGTGGGGCACTGATGGCTCGTGCATGCTTCTTCACATGCGCCTTCTTTTCTCGGTGAGGGATACAAGTCAGCTGCGAGTCCGCAAGTATGTCAGCAGGGATGCGGGAGGCGGTGCCTTGCCTTCCATGCCTTAAAGCCACACAGAATACTGAAGATGCCGGGCCAAACTTGCGCAAGCGTCCACAGCATCAGAGAGCGTGCAGCAACCTACCAACAGGGCTCAAAGGCCCAGACTCTGCAGGGGCTCTTCCGATGGGACATTTGCTAAAAAGAAACTCCAAAGCTGCCAGAACTGCAGGCAGTGAAGGACGCCTTGCTTTACCCATGCACGGTGCCCTGCAGGCTCTTGTGCGTGCTCTCTGGGGCCTGCAGCTTCCCTCAGGACACATCGACCCGCGCCGGCGTGCTCTCTTCCAAGGGTTGCGCTGCATTAGAATTTTGATTCTGGCGCCAGAACCACCCCCTGCTCTTCCTCCTCCTCCTGCTCCTCCTCCCGTTCCTCCTCCTGCTCCTCCTCTTGCTCGTCCTGACCCCCCAAAGCCTTCCTCCCCCTCCTTCCTCCCGCTCCGACTCTCACCTTGGCCTTTGCACAGCTGTTTCTCACACTTTCTCCTCCTCACTCCCCACTGCTGAGCAGCAGGTTGCCCTGTTTGGCGGTCCTTGCCAAGCATGCTTTCTCCTAAGGCACCGCCTTCCTGGCTGCCAGGCTCTGCCCTGCCCTGCGGCAGTGCCGCTGGAAGCGGCATTGTCACAATGCATGGGGCCGATACCGGCTTCTTCTCAGAGGCCACCAGCAGCCCTTGGTGCCAGCACGTGGGCAAACACCCAGCACGGCTCTAGAGAAACATAAACATTGCCTACACGTGAGACCTTCCCGGTCTGGAAGCAGGCAGCCAATCAGAGGGAGGAATGAGAAGATGACAGGGTTTTATAAACAAAGCTGGCTAAGCCAATCAGGGAGCGGCACGGCAACAGGTGGGCTGGGCGCTTTCACAAAATGGCGGCTCCTCACTGTAGAATGCGGCATGAAACAAAATGGTGCCCGCCACTGCAGGGTGGTGGGAGGGATTGCCTGTCCTGGCCCATCCCAAATCCAGGAGGGCCACTCAGCAGCGTAGTCCTGCCCTTGGCAAATGGCCCTTTCCCCGCCCTGCCATGCGGTGTATGCCCAGCGCCTCCAGCTGGTGGCTGGGAAGAGCTTCAGGCTGCAGCCGTGGCGCTGTGGAGCTGTGCTAGCAGCAGAAGCGGCACCTGTGCCTGCTGCAGTGCTCGCGATCTGACCGGCCAAGTGGTAGCAGGTGCTCCACAGGACACCACGCAGAAGCAAAGGGTCCTGCAACTGTGAATTTGGGGTGTGGAAGGGGTTTAGGTGTCAGTTTTGGGGAGGGGGTGTGTGCGCATTTCAAGACAACCAGGTGGACTGTTCCTGTGCTTTGCAGGGAATGTGAGAGAAGAGGTGGCCTGCGCATCGTGACTGTGCTTATGGGGTATGAAGCTGTGGGGCACTGATGGCTCGTGCATGCTTCTTCACATGCGCCTTCTTTTCTCGGTGAGGGATACAAGTCAGCTGCGAGTCCGCAAGTATGTCAGCAGGGATGCGGGAGGCGGTGCCTTGCCTTCCATGCCTTAAAGCCACACAGAATACTGAAGATGCCGGGCCAAACTTGCGCAAGCGTCCACAGCATCAGAGAGCGTGCAGCAACCTACCAACAGGGCTCAAAGGCCCAGACTCTGCAGGGGCTCTTCCGATGGGACATTTGCTAAAAAGAAACTCCAAAGCTGCCAGAACTGCAGGCAGTGAAGGACGGCCTTGCTTTACCCATGCACGGTGCCCTGCAGGCTCTTGTGCGTGCTCTCTGGGGCCTGCAGCTTCCCTCAGGACACATCGACCCGCGCCGGCGTGCTCTCTTCCAAGGGTTTGCGCTGCATTAGAATTTTGATTCTGGCGCTCAGAACCACCCCCTGCTCTTCCTCCTCCTCCTGCTCCTCCTCCCGTTCCTCCTCCTGCTCCTCCTCTTGCTCGTCCTGACCCCCAAAGCCTTCCTCCCCCTCCTTCCTCCCCGCTCCGACTCTCACCTTGGCCTTTTGCACAGCTGTTTCTCACACTTTCTCCTCCTCACTCCCCACTGCTGAGCAGCAGGTTGCCCTGTTTGGCGGTCCTTGCCAAGCATGCTTTCTCCTAAGGCACCGCCTTCCTGGCTGCCAGGCTCTGCCCTGCCCTGCGGCAGTGCCGCTGGAACCGGCATTGTCACAGACGATGACATAGGCAAAGCAGAGACGCTTAACTCCTTCTTTGCCTCTGTCTTCAAATGCCGATGATGGGCTTCGGGACCCAGGGTGCCCGAGCTGGAGACCAGGACGGTGGGATGACAAACTCCCAACCGACCCTGAACGTGTGCGGGATCTGCTACTCACCTGGATCCCTACAAGTCCATGGGTCCGGATGGGATTATCCCCGGGTGCTGAAGGAGCTGGCGGACGTCATCGCGGAACCTCTCTCAATTATTTTTTCAACGATCCTGGGAGTCTGGAGAGGTCCCGGTAGACTGGAAGCTGGCAAATGTTGTGCCGATTTTTCAAGAAGGTCAGAAAGAAGACCCTAGCAATTACAGGCCTGTCAGTCTCACGTCAGTGCCTGGTAAAAATCATGGAGAAGATGGTTCTCGAACTTATTGAGGCGCACCTGGGGACAAAGCAGTCATTGGTCCAGCCAGCATGGGTTTGTGAAGGGTAGGTCTGCCTAACTAACCTGATTTCCTTTTTATGATAAGATCACCCGTATGGTGGACCAAGGGAAACCAGCTGATGTGATTTTTTGGACTTCAGCAAGGCTTTTGACACGGTTTCCCATAGGATCCTACTGGACAAAATGTCCAGCATACAGCTAAATAAAAACATCATACGGTGGGTGAGCAATTGGCTAACGGGCAGGGCCCAAAGGGTTATGGTGAATGGGGCTGCGTCAGGCTGGCGGGCGGTCACCAGTGGGGTCCCTCAAGGCTCCATTTTAGGGCCAGTACTTTTCAATATTTTTATAAACGATCTGGATGTAGGAATAGAAGGCATTTTGAGCAAGTTTGCTGATGACACCAAACTTGGAGGATGTGGACTCGAATGAGGTGGAAAGGCCTTGCAGAGGGATCTGGATAGGTTGGAGAGCTGGGCATCGCCAAACCGCATGAAGTTCAATAAGAGCAAGTGCCGGTCCTGCACCTGGGACGGGGAAACCCTGGCTGCACGTACAGACTGGGCGATGAGACGCTGGAGAGCAGCCTAGAAGAGAGGGATCTGGGGGTCGTGTAGACAACAAGTTGAATATGAGCGGCAGTGTGCCCTGGCAGCCAGGAGGGCAACCGTGTCCTGGGGTGCATCAAGCACGGCATCGCTAGTAGGTCGAGGGAGGTGATTGTCCCGCTCTACTCTGCGCTGGTGAGGCCTCACCTCGAGTACTGTGTGCAGTTCTGGGCACCACAGTATAAAAAGGACATGAAACTGTTGGAGAGTGTCCAGAGGAGGGCTACGAAGATGGTGAAAGGCCTGGAGGGGAAGACGTACGAGGAACGGCTGAGGCACTGGGCCTGTTCAGCCTGGAGAAGAGGAGGCTGAGGGGAGACCTCATCGCAGTCTACAACTTCCTCGCAAGGGGGTGTCGAGAGGCAGGAGACCTTTTCTCCATTAACAACCAGCGACAGGACCCGCGGGAATGGAGTTAAGCTGAGGCAGGGGAAGTTTAGGCTGGACATCAGGAAGGGCCTCCTCCTGCTCCTCCTCTTGCTCGTCCTGACCCCCCCAAAGCCTTCCTCCCCCTCCTTCCTCCCGCTCCGACTCTCACCTTGGCCTTTGCACAGCTTGTTCTCACACTTTCTTCCTCACTCACTCCCCACTGCTGAGCAGCAGGTTGCCCTGGTTTGGCGGTCCTTGCCAAGCATGCTTTCTCCTAAGGCACCGCCTTCCTGGCTGCCAGGCTCTGCCCTGCCCTGCGGCAGTGCCGCTGGAAGCCGGCATTGTCACAATGCATGGGGCCGATACCGGCTTACTTCTCAGAGGCCACCAGCAGCCCTTGGTGCCAGCACGTGGGCAAACACCCAGCACGGCTCTAGAGAAACATAAACATTGCCTACACGTGAGACCTTCCCGGTCTGGAAGCAGGCAGCCAATCAGAGGGAGGAATGAGAAGATGACAGGGTTTTATAAACAAAGCTGGCTAAGCCAATCAGGGAGCGGCACGGCAACAGGTGGGCTGGGCGCTTTCACAAAATGGCGGCTCCTCACTGTAGAATGCGGCATGAAACAAAATGGTGCCCGCCACTGCAGGGTGGTGGGAGGGATTGCCTGTCCTGGCCCATCCCAAATCCAGGAGGGCCACTCAGCAGCGTAGTCCGGCCCTTGGCAAATGGCCCTTTCCCCGCCCTGCCATGCGGTGTATGCCCAGCGCCTCCAGCTGGTGGCTGGGAAGAGCTTCAGGCTGCAGCCGTGGCGCTGTGGAGCTGTGCTAGCAGCAGAAGCGGCACCTGTGCCTGCTGCAGTGCTCGCGATCTGACCGGCCAAGTGGTAGCAGGTGCTCCACAGGACACCACGCAGAAGCAAAGGGTCCTGCAACTGTGAATTTGGGGTGTGGAAGGGGTTTAGGTGTCAGTTTTGGGGAGGGGGTGTGTGCGCATTTCAAGACAACCAGGTGGACTGTTCCTGTGCTTTGCAGGGAATGTGAGAGAAGAGGTGGCCTGCGCATCGTGACTGTGCTTATGGGGTATGAAGCTGTGGGGCACTGATGGCTCGTGCATGCTTCTTCACATGCGCCTTCTTTTCTCGGTGAGGGATACAAGTCAGCTGCGAGTCCGCAAGTATGTCAGCAGGGATGCGGGAGGCGGTGCCTTGCCTTCCATGCCTTAAAGCCACACAGAATACTGAAGATGCCGGGCCAAACTTGCGCAAGCGTCCACAGCATCAGAGAGCGTGCAGCAACCTACCAACAGGGCTCAAAGGCCCAGACTCTGCAGGGGCTCTTCCGATGGGACATTTGCTAAAAAGAAACTCCAAAGCTGCCAGAACTGCAGGCAGTGAAGGACGCCTTGCTTTACCCATGCACGCTGCCCTGCAGGCTCTTGTGCGTGCTCTCTGGGGCCTGCAGCTTCCCTCAGGACACATCGACCCGCGCCGGCGTGCTCTCTTCCAAGGGTTGCGCTGCATTAGAATTTTGATTCTGGCGCCAGAACCACCCCCTGCTCTTCCTCCTCCTCCTGCTCCTCCTCCCGTTCCTCCTCCTGCTCCTCCTCTTGCTCGTCCTGACCCCCAAAGCCTTCCTCCCCCTCCTTCCTCCCGCTCCGACTCTCACCTTGGCCTTTGCACAGCTGTTTCTCACACTTCTCCTCCTCACTCCCCACTGCTGAGCAGCAGGTTGCCCTGTTTGGCGGTCCTTGCCAAGCATGCTTTCTCCTAAGGCACCGCCTTCCTGGCTGCCAGGCTCTGCCCTGCCCTGCGGCAGTAGCCGCTGGAACCGGCATTGTCACAATGCATGGGGCCGATACCGGCTTCTTCTCAGAGGCCACCAGCAGCCCTTGGTGCCAGCACGTGGGCAAACACCCAGCACGGCTCTAGAGAAACATAAACATTGCCTACACGTGAGACCTTCCCGGTCTGGAAGCAGGCAGCCAATCAGAGGGAGGAATGAGAAGATGACAGGGTTTTATAAACAAAGCTGGCTAAGCCAATCAGGGAGCGGCACGGCAACAGGTGGGCTGGGCCCTTTCACAAAATGGCGGCTCCTCACTGTAGGAGTGCGGCATGAAACAAAATGGTGCCCGCCACTGCAGGATGGTGGGAGGGATTGCCTGTCGTGGCCCATCCCACGTCCGGGAGGGCCACTCAGCAGCGTAGTCCTGCCCTTCACAAAAGGCCCTTTCCCCGCCCTGCCATGCGGTGTATGCCCAGCGCCTCCATCTGGTGGCCAGGAAGAACTTCAGGCTGCAGCCGTGGCGCTGTGGAGCTGTGCTAGCAGCAGAAGCAGCATCAGCGCCTGCCGCAGTGCTCGCGATCGACCGGCCAAGTGGTAGCAGGTGCTCCACAGGACATCAGGCAGAAGCAAAGGGGCCTGCAACTGTAATCTGGGGAGTGGAAGGGGTTTAGGCTGCCGCTTTTTGGGAGGGGGTGTGTGCGCATTTCAAGACAACCAGGTGGACTGTTCCTGCTCTTCGCAGGGAATGTGCGAGAAGAGTGGCCTTCGCATCGTGACTGTGGTTATGGGGTATGAAGCTGTGGGGCACTGATGGCTCGTGCATGCTTCTTCACATGCGCCTTCTTTTCTCGGTGAGGGATACAAGTCAGCTGCGAGTCCGCAAGTATGTCAGCAGGGATGCGGGAGGCGGTGCCTTGCCTTCCATGCCTTAAAGCCACACAGAATACTGAAGATGCCGGGCCAAACTTGCGCAAGCGTCCACAGCATCAGAGAGCGTGCAGCAACCTACCAACAGGGCTCAAAGGCCCAGACTCTGCAGGGGCTCTTCCGATGGGACATTTGCTAAAAAGAAACTCCAAAGCTGCCAGAACTGCAGGCAGTGAAGGACGCCTTGCTTTACCCATGCACGGTGCCCTGCAGGCTCTTGTGCGTGCTCTCTGGGGCCTGCAGCTTCCCTCAGGACACATCGACCCGCGCCGGCGTGCTCTCTTCCAAGGGTTGCGCTGCATTAGAATTTTGATTCTGGCGCCAGAACCACCCCCTGCTCTTCCTCCTCCTCCTGCTCCTCCTCCCGTTCCTCCTCCTGCTCCTCCTCTTGCTCGTCCTGACCCCCCAAAGCCTTCCTCCCCCTCCTTCCTCCCGCTCCGACTCTCACCTTGGCCTTTGCACAGCTGTTTCTCACACTTTCTCCTCCTCACTCCCCACTGCTGAGCAGCAGGTTGCCCTGTTTGGCGGTCCTTGCCAAGCATGCTTTCTCCTAAGGCACCGCCTTCCTGGCTGCCAGGCTCTGCCCTGCCCTGCGGCAGTGCCGCTGGAACCGGCATTGTCACAATGCATGGGGCCGATACCGGCTTCTTCTCAGAGGCCACCAGCAGCCCTTGGTGCCAGCACGTGGGCAAACACCCAGCACGGCTCTAGAGAAACATAAACATTGCCTACACGTGAGACCTTCCCGGTCTGGAAGCAGGCAGCCAATCAGAGGGAGGAATGAGAAGATGACAGGGTTTTATAAACAAAGCTGGCTAAGCCAATCAGGGAGCGGCACGGCAACAGGTGGGCTGGGCGCTTTCACAAAATGGCGGCTCCTCACTGTAGAATGCGGCATGAAACAAAATGGTGCCCGCCACTGCAGGGTGGTGGGAGGGATTGCCTGTCCTGGCCCATCCCAAGTCCAGGAGGGCCACTCAGCAGCGTAGTCCTGCCCTTGACAAATGGCCCTTTCCCCGCCCTGCCATGCGGTGTATGCCCAGCGCCTCCAGCTGGTGGCCTGGAAGAGCTTCAGGCTGCAGCCGTGGCGCTGTGGAGCTGTGCTAGCAGCAGAAGCGGCACCTGTGCCTGCTGCAGTGCTCGCGATCTGACCGGCCAAGTGGTAGCAGGTGCTCCACAGGACACCACGCAGAAGCAAAGGGTCCTGCAACTGTGAATTTGGGGTGTGGAAGGGGTTTAGGTGTCAGCTTTTGGGGAGGGGGTGTGTGCGCATTTCAAGACAACCAGGTGGACTGTTCCTGTGCTTTGCAGGGAATGTGAGAGAAGAGGTGGCCTGCGCATCGTGACTGTGCTTATGGAGGTATGAAGCTGTGGGGCACTGATGGCTCGTGCATGCTTCTTCACATGCGCCTTCTTTTCTCGGTGAGGGATACAAGTCAGCTGCGAGTCCGCAAGTATGTCAGCAGGGATGCGGGAGGCGGTGCCTTGCCTTCCATGCCTTAAAGCCACACAGAATACTGAAGATGCCGGGCCAAACTTGCGCAAGCGTCCACAGCATCAGAGAGCGTGCAGCAACCTACCAACAGGGCTCAAAGGCCCAGACTCTGCAGGGGCTCTTCCGATGGGACATTTGCTAAAAAGAAACTCCAAAGCTGCCAGAACTGCAGGCAGTGAAGGACGCCTTGCTTTACCCATGCACGCTGCCCTGCAGGCTCTTGTGCGTGCTCTCTGGGGCCTGCAGCTTCCCTCAGGACACATCGACCCGCGCCGGCGTGCTCTCTTCCAAGGGTTGCGCTGCATTAGAATTTTGATTCTGGCGCCAGAACCACCCCCTGCTCTTCCTCCTCCTCCTGCTCCTCCTCCCGTTCCTCCTCCTGCTCCTCCTCTTGCTCGTCCTGACCCCCCAAAGCCTTCCTCCCCCTCCTTCCTCCCGCTCCGACTCTCACCTTGGCCTTTGCACAGCTGTTTCTCACACTTTCTCCTCCTCACTCCCCACTGCTGAGCAGCAGGTTGCCCTGTTTGGCGGTCCTTGCCAAGCATGCTTTCTCCTAAGGCACCGCCTTCCTGGCTGCCAGGCTCTGCCCTGCCCTGCGGCAGTGCCGCTGGAAGCGGCATTGTCACAATGCATGGGGCCGATACCGGCTTCTTCTCAGAGGCCACCAGCAGCCCTTGGTGCCAGCACGTGGGCAAACACCTGTTATAAGTTGTCCCCTTAATTAATTTTCAGAGAGCATTGCATTAATAATAGAAAGGACTTTATTGAGTAAGCAACAGCAAGCAAAACAGCGCTGGGTGGCCGGGGAGTCTCGGCTCCGCCAACGGCGCGCACCTCACCCCCGCCAGGGTCCCTTTTTATATCTTGGTGATTTCAGGATTATGCAGCACCTCCTGGTATATTCTGCGGTTGCGTGCGCTGTTGCTAGGGGGTCGTCTCTGTCCCTCTGGTTGTCGTGAAGATGAAGGCCGTAATCTTCCTCAGCGTTGTGGTTCAACTTTTTTTTTTATTTGCTCATGTTGGCCCAGCGTGAGACAGGAAGGCAGGATGTTGATACACTTGTTTAGCAACTTATCAGGAGATGGTTACATGAGCTTTGCAGCAGTGTCTTTAAACAAAAGAGACAACTGAGACGCAGAAGGAGAGAAGGGGAGGGGGGGGTTCTTTTTTGTTACATTAAGCAAAAGAATTTTCATAGTGTCTAGCCAAGCATTATACAGGTCCTTACTTCAGCAGGGAGTTTTCACAACTCCCGTTCCTCAAACAGAACTCCTTGTTTTTATAATACAAAAGACAATGAACAAACATTTATTGTGTATTACAATCCCTCCTTTTTCTTTTAGTTACTCATTTTGTTCATTGAATCTTGGCAATGCCTGGCTACTAAGAACTAATGTTTCCTCGATTCCTTCTTTGGTACTTATTGGCTCGTATCTGGCATGTATGAGCATTAAATATGCCGCTTCTAAATGTCCCTTTACAATCGCAATCAATTTATTAAAAAATACATGGTCCAAAAGTTAGTGCTATTATTAAGAACAACAAAGGTCCTGTTATTGTTGATAATAAAGTAGTAGGCCAAGGTGAATAATTAAACCAAGATTCGTACCAGCTCTGTCGGGCTTCATTCTCCCGTTTCCTTTTTTTTTTCAACCCTTCCCTGGGTCTTGCCATTGTACCTCTTACCTCTCCAGTGTGATCAGCATACACACAGCATTCCTCTTTCAGGGCTGCACACAGCCCGCCCTGTTGTAAAATATACCAAATCTAATCCCCTACGATTTTGTAACACTACCTCTGAAAGCAACCTGATAGATTTTCCAGGGCCGAGATGGATTGTTCAGTTTGGGTCAGGTCCTCGTCCACAGCAATGCATAAGGAAGTAAATTCTTGATTTTGTTTAACCAATGAGGCTACCCTGGTCCCCACTCCAGCTCCTCCCAGGATTATTAGGGTGGCCAAAGTTAGAGCCGTGAATGGTTCCCGTCTTTCTAGATGATGACTTTCCACTGTGTCTGGGTGTACATATAATCCTCAGGGTGGTGTAGAATCCTTGGTATAATTATCACCTGTATACAGAAATCACGA